TGCGACATTGTCACCACTTTGAAGCGCAACTGGTGGGTCCAGCGGAGTGTCCCTGGGGGCCTGCGAACTGCGTCTTTGTCGCCACTTTCGAGGGTTGCGGCTGGGTCTAGCGGATTGGGGCACCGCGCAGACCTGAGCGGGACCACGCCGTCCCCGGGGAGTTGCGATTTGCGAAATTGTCGCCACTTTCGAGGGCTGTTGGTCGGTCCAGCGGTGTGAGGCACCGCGCAGACCTGAGCGGGACCTCGCCGTCCTTGGGGGGTTGCGATCTGCGACCCTGGGGGGCTGCGATCTGCGACACTGTCGCCACTTTCGAGGGCGGCTTGTGGGTCCAGCGGAGTGAGGCACCGCGCAGACTTGAGCGGGACCTCGCCGTCCCTGGGGGGCTGCGATCTGCGACATTGTCGCCATTTTCGAGGGCTGCTGAGGGGTCCAGCGGAATGAGGCTTCGCGCAGACTTGAGCGGGACCTCGCCGTCCCCGGGGGGCTGCGCTCTGCGACACCAGGAGTTAAGCTCAGGATTAGCAGTAGTAGCCTAGCCCCGTCGCAACACCAGCGTAGACAGGGGAGACGGGCTGCGATCTGCGAAATTGTCGCTGGGTGCAGGGGAAGTTGCGGAGGGCCAGCCTAGCGGCGCCCCGCCGCGGGTTCAGAAAATGCGTCATCGCGCGGAAATTTTGGTTCGAGGGAGCCAGGTCATGTCCTTGCTGCCCCGCCTGCGTTTCAAGCCCGTTGCCCGCCTTCTCCGCTTGGACCTTGCCTTAGTGACTCTGGGGTTCACTTAGTTACTCATCTCTACCACGCTTTTTCTCTTGATCGGGGACCTGCGAACCTCCCGAATGCCGCTCGCAGAAGTATATGCGTCCATGTCACGTCGCCGCCGTCTCATTAAATCTCCCAAGCTACTCCTGCCCTGCACTGCGCAAGGGTTGGGTACGTCGCCAGGGTCATTTTTCCTGAAAGGAGACTCTATGTTGTGCAATCGCGATGGCGGCAGGGCGGCGACGGCGGTACCATAGCCGCCAGACCGGACGACAGGCCCAGAGACGGATGGCGACGAGGCGGTGGCGGGGCGGCGATGGCGGCAACATAGTCGCCAGACTGGAAGACCGGCCCAGACGACGGGCGGCGATGAGGCGGCGAAGGGGCGGCGACGGCGGCTACATAGCAGCCAGAGCGGCAGACAGGCCCAGACGAGGGGCGGCGACAAGGCGGCGACGGGGCGGCGACGGCGGCTACATAGCCGCCAGAGCGGCAGACAGGCCCTGTTAGTTCGAAAAACATTAAGAACCCCTAAGTACAAGCACGACTTGGGGAAAAAAAAAACAATAGGAAGGGGGAGAAGGACGATGTCTCAGTGCCCTCCTCCCTCCCTTTGTCCTGACCTGTTCGTGCCTATCCCCATTTACCTCCCTTCCACTCATTGTTTTCATCGGCCTCTCCTTTCTCAACTCATCACCGCCTTTGTATTTCTTAAAGGCGTCATCGTTGACATTATGCCCGTGGCATTTTACCTCCAGGCCATCCCCCTCCTCTTCTTCCACCTGCTTCGCTTCCCCCTCTGCGCCCTCTCCCCCATCGCCCCCTGGGAGGAGGACGACGAGGATAAGGAGGAGAAGGAGGAAGAGGAGGAGAAGAAAGACGGGGATGGGGACGAGGAGCATGAGGGGGATGACGAGATGATGCTGATGATGATGATGCTGATGCTGATGCTGATGCTGATGCTGATGCTGATGATGATGCTGCTGATGATGATGAGGAGGATGAGGATGATGATCATGATCATGCTCATGCTCATGCTCATGATCATGATCATGATCATGAGGAGGAGGAGGAGGAGGAGGAGGAGGAGGAGGAGGAGTCCGGCACCCGCTGGAGAAGTGATCGCATTCCAACATGCATCAAGAGGGTGGCACACTGGCCTCAAGGAGGTCGCCATCTGGGGCCAAGGGCGCCCCACAGGACAGGGTCAAAACACCAGCGAATTCCTTACGGAATCGGCTCGAGCCGCACGGTTCCTGCGCTCCACAGCGCAGGCACCGAGTGCTTCCGGCCGTCGCTCGATCTGGAAAGCCGAACAACGCCAACCCCCTCGCCAAGTCAGCCCCCATCCCGCTAGGAGCCGTCGGGCTCAAGCCTTCGGCAGGCGGCCGTGCGAAGGCGGGCTGCTGTTGCAGTCCCATCTTGGGCGCCTGCCTCCGAAATTACCGTCGGCCTATCGGCACGAAATCCTTTACGAGATGGATGGTCCCCGCGCAGGATCCAAGACAATTGTCGTTCATGGCCCATCGAGCGCGCTCGCAAGCAGTCCGACGCGAGCGCGCTCCGGCCCCAGTGGCCCCCAATCTCACGGCTCCGCATGATGAGCATAGGGCAATCGAGCCAGCCCTCGACCCCTGCGGGTCGAACACGGCGGCCTCCAAAATCGAATGCTCACGAGCGGGCCAGGGGGCCAACTCTGGCCACATGACCGCGGCAGCAGGCCCAGTCTCCGACAGGGCCGCCGCCTGCTGGGGCCCATCAGGGGCAACGGTGCATTCATTCATCCTCCCCCGCCCTCCCCGCTCCAGCCTGCCCGCCATAAGACAGAAGAGGAGGTAAGGTTGGGTCGAGGTCGAGGTCCACATTCTTCAGCCAGTCTAGGCTGATGAGGTCAAACGCCCTCGAACTACCGATACGAGCCTCCTGCTCAGCCGCGATACGAGAAACAAGGCGTGCAATTTCGTGGCACCCCTCCACCACAAGGAGGTCCTGGGGGGCAAGCCGACCTAATTCAGCACCTTTTTTCGCATAGAGGTCCGCGGCGCGATTGCCCAGCAGCTGTAGGCGGCTCAATTTTCCTACCAACACGTCCCGCTCGGAGCAGTGGGCGGGCACCTTGTGGACAATGACTCTTTCGAGCTTGCCCGAGGATTGCCTGGACACACTGCGGCGGGCGGATCACGGGCCAGATCGGCAGTACCAGAACGATCGATGTGAAGATGAACTCCTGGTGAGACCAGCGCGTGACGCACAAGCGAGCCAACGGCGAAATCCTCGCCGTCTCTAGCAACTTGGTCGGGGGCAACGCTGCGGGGCACGCGCCCCTAAATCGCACGAAGAACCTCCCTCCCCCCACCCGTCCGTCACAACAACCGCCCATCCCGCTGCCCGAATGCGAGGCCGTAGCGGTTCAAACGCGGCGCCGTCCGAGAACACATGGGACCCCGCCTCCAAAATCAAAACCTCCGCAGGCCAGTTAAATCTATGAACCGTGTCCTCTGGAGGGCCCAGCGGGGTCCTAAACCAGCGCGTCGGGTCAGGCAGGACTCCGCGAGCAACAAGTTCCTGGGCCCGCGGGTGCAAGCTCGAAACGACGCTCGCGGCAGCCCGCAGGTCAGGGCCCAAGCAGTCCCTACGCCACTCGGCATGCGCAGGGCACCTAAATCGCCGGTGAAACGGCGTGCGAAGGGCTCTCGCCACACGGAAGGCACAAAGGCGAAATGTCTGGACAGCTCTCGGCGAGACGCTGCTGGCACCAGTACCTGTTGGCAATGAGGCCCCTCAGGCAATTACGACAATGAGCCTTCCATACATTCGAATCGTGCGACAGCAAATCCAAGGCCGGTTTGAGGCACCTCGGTCCAACCCATTCGCCTCCAAAGTGAGATTGGCGAGTCTGCTCATCAGCCGCGATGGCCTCGGCAACAGCTTCACGAACGCGCAACTCGAAAAAGGAGGGCGAGAATGACGAAAGGTGCCAAGACCTCCCAAGGTGATCCACTAGCGATTCATTGTCAAAGTCGAGACGCCACCGAATCCTGGTCAACGAGAGCACTAGCGCCGCCACAGGTTGGCTGGCGGCACTCCACGGCTTCACCTTGGTGGACACTCGCACGGCATCTTGAAAAGCCGAGGCCAAGACAGCCTTCGAAACCGATTGATTCCACCAGACAGATACAAAGGTTTTGACCGCCGCCGCCGTGACATACGACAGCGGGTCCTTCTGGGGGCTCCCACTGAGAAGCAGCGTGAGTCCCAGGGAGGATCCTGGCTGCAGTGGCCCATAGGAGCGGGCCGCAGAAACTCGAAGAGCGCGGAGGGCCGAATTCCCGAGGCCCATGACTTGGGCCCCCCAGGTCGCCTTGGCGGCAGGCCCCGCCCTATGAACCCGAGCCGCCGCCCTCCCCCCGCCGATTTTCTGGAGCCTGCCAGCCGCGGTACTAGCAGCTGACAGACGGCCGGCCTGCGTAGGCACATGCCTGTGGCGGCCATCCCTTGCATCACCGCCCAAGTCGCGATGAGTCGCCGCGAAAAAACTGGCGTCGAACGGCCAATCAGCATCCGACAGCAGCGCCTCGGTCAACTCCACAGCAGAGGAGAGGACGCACGTCTTGCCCATATTGAGTGGCAAGCCCAGGCGGCCCATCTCCGCGATGACCGTGTTGGCAGCCTGGGCCAGCTGCCGGGCCACCACCTGCAGGCCCCCAATGGCGTGGACCTTCAGGTCGTCGACCAGATTGAGCGGCCTACACACGGGCGTCTCCACAGAGGTGGTCCTGAGCACGCAAAGGGTGAGCAGCTTCACGACGCCAGTAGCGTAGGAGCAGCCTGCGATCACCGTGCCGTTGGGCATCATCTCCCTGGACGTCGCTCCAAGCCAGCGCACCTACCGCGGGCCGTTGTAGAGCGCGCACAACGCCCGAAGCACGCGCTCGTCAAAGCCGTAGTGACGACTGGCCTCCCGAAAGGCCTGGTGGGAGATGTTCTCGTAGAACTCCGACATGTCAAAATAGAGCGTGCCGCTGGCCATATTGTGGCGTCTGGCATGCACCACAAGCAATTTGTGGATATAAGCAGCCCGGTCCGCCGCCGTGTCGCCGCTCTTGCCCCAGAAGAGCGCCGCGTTGACGCTGCGCTCCCAGCGCCGAACGTCCCGCTGGCGGATCCGAGACCAGACCCGGGGCCACAGGCTGAGCAAGCCGATCGGCCTACGGCCTTTGTCGGGCGGGGCCTTCGGGATGAAGACAAACATCGTCGTCCACAGAGACGGCACCAGCGTTTGCTGCTCCCACTCATTGAGGATGCTGGTAAACCTGAGCAGCAACGCCTCCGACATCTGCTCCAGGGCGCAGGGGTGGAGCGCGTCCCATCCCAACCCCGTGCGCTTGCCAAAGCTGCTCAGCACTGAGCGGACCTGCCGTACGGAGGTCGGGTCCAAGCCAGCTTCTGTGGCCCATGCTGCTGCTGGAGACTCCGACTCGCGGGCGGCCTTGGACCAGAGCGGCAGCATTTTCTCTCAAGATGGCCTCAGCCGCTGCCGAACCCACCTGTGCCAGGGCGTCAGGGTCCCTAGCCAGCACCACAGGCAGCGACTCCTCGGGGCGAGGTCGAATCAACCTGTGTGCCACGCGGCCTGTGTCGGCAAGGGCCGAGGCGCAGAACTCCCGCCACGCCGCGGACTTCGCAGATGCGTCCGCCTTGCGCCGCTGCTGCAACTCCTCCAGCAGCCCTTCGAACCAGGCAGCCAGAGGACTATTGCGCTCCGAGCCCGAGCCACCTGTCGAGGTCCAGAACGGCCAGGGCCTTTGCTTCGGAAAGCGCAGCGGGCAGCTCGATCTGCCGGGCCTGCTTGATCAAGCTCTCCCTCAGGCATGCCCTCCTGCCCTTAGACCCGGGCTGGGCCTGGCCCAATCTCAAGAGGCTGCGCCAGATCTTGAGCAGGCTCCAGCAAGCCTCGGTGCCTCTCGAGTCATGCAGGCGCTGCTTCCGAGCTTGCACTTCCGCCAAGGGGCGCTGGACCAAGCGGGGCCCCTCCGAGCGGCCCCGGACATGCCGGGCGCGCGCCGCCTCGATGCCGCGGGCGCGGATCAGGTGCTGCTCAGACCAGCAACAGCGTTGAGCCCTCGCCTAAATGGGCTCGGCGCAGCACCATGCGGTGTTGGATCGCAGACGGAGGACTAGCGGAAACCCAAGGGTCACCAACGATGTTAGAATTAACTCTCCCTCCAAGCTCCCTCGTCAAAGGCCCCTACAACGGTTCATTTCCATTGAGGGAACTGCTTCGTTGGAAGACAGCAGTTTGAAGATCCTGAAGCGTGCCAAAACATGATTCTCGGGATTTCAACACCACGTATCGACTTGACTGCTGCGTCTTGACGATCCAGAAACGTGCCAGAACGCAATTTGGGGGACTTCAACATAGAAAATCAACAGAAGTGTTGTGTCCGCATAATCTTGAATCCTTCCACAACACAATTTCTGGTGCGCTGGTTAAAGGAATCTGTGAAACTCTTGCAAATGTTTAAAACGAATGTGCGCGGCGCTAAGGCGAGAGCCGCATTTTAAATAGGAGTCGCCCGCATTCCGTGCAAATCTTGCAAAGTTTGAAACGAATGTGCGCGACGCTAAGGCGAGAGTCACATTTTGAAAACCACCCGCCCTCACTCCGTGAAACTCTTCCAATTGTTTAAGACGAATGTGCGCGGCGCTAAGGCGAGAGCCGCATTTTGAAAAGGAGCCGCCCTCAATCCGTGAAGCTCTTGCAAAGTTTTAAACGAATGTGCGCGACGCTAAGGCGAGATTCACATTTTGAATACCACCCGCCCTCACTCCGTGAAACTCTTGCAATGATTTAAGAAGAATGTGCGCGGCGCTAAGGCGAGAGCCACATTTTGAAAAGGAACCGTTTTCAATTCCGCAAAACTCTTGCACTTGTTTAAACGAATGTGCGCGACGCTAAGGCGAGAGCCACATTTTGAAAAACACCCGCCCTCAATCCGTGAAACCTTGGCAAATGTTTAAAACGAATGCGCGCGGCGCGAAGGCGAGAGCCACATTTTGAAAGCGACCCGCCCTCCACCTGTGCAGCCGCTGCCACTTTTTTAGACGCAGGGTCACAAGTGGAGAGGAAGTCTCAGGCGAAACGCCCAACCCGCTCCAAATACTGGCCTCGGGGTGCGACATGGAGGAGTCATTTCTAAGCAGGAGGAATGGAGCAGGAGGAGGAGGAGGAGGAGGAGGAGGAGGAGGGGGGAATGGAGATGAGAGGAGGAGGAGGAGGATAGAGGAGGATGATGAGGAGGGGAAGATGAGGCGGAGAGGAGGAGGATGAGGAGGAGGAGGGAGGAAAGGAGGAGGAGGAGGTAGGAGAGGGAGTAGGAGGAGGAAGGGAGGATTAGGAGGATAAGGGGGAGGGAGGGTAGGAGGAAGGGGGAGGAGGGAGGAGGGAGGAGGGAGGAGGGAGGAGGGAGGAGGGAGGAGGAGGAGGTAGGAGGGAGGAGGAGGAAGGGAGGAGGAGGAGGAGAGGTCGGGATGATGGATGAGGAAGGTAGGGGGGGGGGGGGAGTATTGAGGAGGAGGGGGGGAGGGAGGAGGAGGAGGAGGAGCCAGGCCCCCGACCGTCCTCTGGCCCCGCGGGGCCGGCCGCCAGACGCCCCGCCCTGCCGCCCTGCGCAGGGAAGCACTGCATCCGGGGCATGCTGCGGAAGGAGCCGGAGAGGCGGCTGGGCGCGGGCATGCACGGCTTCGAGGCGGGAGGGTGACAGACAGCAGCGGGTTGGAGCCGGTTGTCTGCACAAGCGAGATGGGCACGGAAAGAATGGGTACAATGCTCCACAGCAGTTCCTGTTCATTTTGAACAGGACTCGCTGTCCGCGCCGCCGCGGCCTGTGTCCATTCGAGACAGAAGGCCGCCTGCCCAACAGCGGCCGCTGTTGGTTTGGGACAACATGTGTTGTTGGGCATTGTACACATTCTTTCCGTACCCATTTCGGGCATCCAATAGTGTGACAGACAGCGGCGGGTTGGAGCCGGTTGGGGGCCCGATGTTTGTCCGCGGCTGCTGGCAGGCATCCCGAGGCTGGAGGCCCGCCAGGAGCCGACGGAAACGCCCGGAAGCGCCCGAGAACCTCTCGAGCCCGAGCCTCGAACCTCGAGCCTCGTGCCCTCCCCGAGCCGACCTTCTTCTCCTCTGGCGCCCATGGCGGGCGAGAAACAAAACAGCCGCAGGTGCGGGGCCTCCCGCGGCACCAGCCCCCCCGCGCAGGGCGACCCCCCCCGGCCGGGCCTCCTGCCAGCGCTGCGGCCCTCGGGATGCCGGTTGGCGGCGGCGAGGGGGCCCAGCAGGTGGTCCGGCCAGCAGGAGGGGGGGGGGCGAGGTTCGAGCTGCTGGGCTCGAGAAGGTGTTTCTCAAGCAGTGGCGAAGCGTCCCGGCTCGCCGATAGCCCTACCAAACAATGTTCTAAGAACCTGTTGTGGTTCCCACGAAATGTTCTTAGAACATTTCTGGCGGAGTCTGTTTTGTTTTAACACATGGTTTTATGTTCTAAGAACATCGTTTTTGTTCTTAGAACAGCTTTGGTTTCTAAGAACATTTCGTGGTAGGACTATAGGAATGCCGGGACGGTCGGTTCCTGCTCAAGAGGTGGCGTGTACACGTCTTGCGGGATCGCCCTGCCGATTCCCACGGGAAGGGTGGATCGTTTGAGGTGGGTGGCCCAGTGGCCAATGCACTCTAGCTGTGCTTCGGGCCGAGCGTCAATGAAGACAACATGTGAAAATGTGAATGTTTGCGTTTATCGCTGGTTCGGTCTGTGTGGAGGCTGGGGGAGACACGAAACACGATGGCCTACGCCACGTGGTATTGAGGAGATGCTCCTGTCTTGTCTCTCAGCGTTCATCCCACTAAGTGGGATAGCGAGTGTGCGTGACCTGGTGATTGCAAAACTAGTCCCGAGCTTATTCGCCATAGCAGCCAGTGAGAGATCGTTGCACGTACTTTAGCCGTTTGGGCTAAAGTGCAGGTGTTTCCAGCGCCCTCCACGTCCCACCCTGGAGCGGCACTTAGCCAGCATGGTATGCGGGACCGCGAACTGGCCCACCTGGTGTTAGGCGTGGTGCTCCTCTGAAGTTCGTGGGCCGCCCAGGGGCCAAATATGCCTGGCTCACTGGGCGGCACAAGGCCATTGTCGATTACCATGGTGAGCTGGGAGTGCTCCGTTACCATGGTGGCTCTGGTTGCCTGTGCCCCTGTGACAGCGGTGGCTGCTTCAGTCTGTTTCCAGTGTGGGGATAGCGTCGCCCCGCTGTGGTGGCATTGGGCTACATGGTGCGGTTGTCCCACAGTGCGAGGTGACGCTGCTGGCGTCTTCCCCCACGCAGCGCCACGCCTACCATGGTAGCTTGGCGACGCCGTCGGCTTATCTCTGTGCTTCCCCCCTGTGTCTCCCTGTGCCCGTGCGCGTGATGTGTGACATGACGATTTGTGCGGCCTCCAGGGGCCGTTTTCGGGTTGAAGAACTCCACCAGATGGACCTTGTGCGGGGTCCCAATCCGTTCAGACTCCTGGCCGCCTCCAAGCAGCGGGAATTACAGTGGAGACCCACGCCAAGAAACACCCTGCTTGCCCCCAGGGTGCCCTGGGTTTCTTGGGTTTCGATGGCTTTCGATGCAAAGCGTGACGCTCCCACGCCAAAGTTCAACGGACGTCGTGGGGTCTCAGGGTTGGGTTTCTTGTGAAAGGTTCATGTGGACTGGCCCCCACTGTAGGGTCACAGTCGGCTACGATGGACCTTTGCCGCCAGAGTGGCCTCTAGTGTGGGCAGCGGGCACACCTGGGGTCGTCAGGTGGCCGAGAGGGGATGCGGCAGCAGCGGCTTCGGCGCTCCGCGAAAGGCCCCCCCGCGGCCCACGAGAGGCGCACACCAACTGTCACCTTTGCAAAGGGTCACTCTTGCGTGTACAGCCGGGGCGCTGAAGAGGGAGCCCTTTTCGTTTGGGAGGGGCTCAGTGCTCTTTAGTTGGTGTGCAGTTTGCCTTAGGTGTTGCTTAGGTGTTCGATGGGAAATCTAAGTTCTACTTATGGAAAGAAGGTACCGCGTTCCTTGTTCTTTAGGGCAACGCCCCGACTGTAGGGGTCACAAGGCGTGGGAGGGCGCGGAGTGACTGCCGGTCACGCGATTTGCGATTACAGATCGCAGTGATCGGCGGATCTCGTGATCGCCGATCACGTGATGGGTTCGGCTTCATCGCGCAATCGTTCAGGCTGGAATGCGCGATCGATCCATGATCGGCGCTGCAGCCATCATGTTCAGGGCTGCGATCGGTGATCAGGTGGCGTAATCGGCCGAGTGATCAGACAGACATTGGGGGGGGTAAAGCGGCAGGAATAGGGTCACAGGGCGTGGCGTGGAAGGACGGGGAGGGCGCTGAGGGCGCGGAGGAGGCGACGGAGCAATCAAGCGAGAAATAATTGCATAAACATACATTTTTGGAGCTCTGCGCGAATTTCTCGGATCGGCGCTGGACCCCCTTGGCAGCGCCTTCGGCGCCAGGGAGTGGGGTCCAGCGCCGATCTGAGAAATCCGCGCGGACCTTCGACAGTTTTTTGGCTTATGCCATATTTTCTTATTCCAAGTAAAGGGCGATCACGAGTGTGGTGCTGGGTGGCTTGGCAGGTGGCCTGTGCCAGAATGGAGGCGAGTCTCTAGCAAGACGACGCTTACCACGACGACGACGACGACGAGGGTGAGGCAGAGGAACGGGGGTGCACAAGATCAGTGGGCATTCTGGACTTCCCAATGAAAGTGGAGACGACGTGCATTCTCGAACGACTGTGAGTTCGAACAGGGAGTCCGATGTGCATGCATAGCGGTCGTTCTTTATTCATCGTTGTGGCGATCGGCGCGGG